TCCCTGCTTGTCCTGCTTGAACTCACTCTGAAGTGTTTGTGTCCGTCCTTTTTTAACGCACCGGGCGGGTGCGGATTGCGCAGGTGAATAGTTCCACTCGTCATTTCCCTCCGGTGAGGAGGGGGAGTGGCAGTTCACCAGCACAATCCTCTCCATTTGATAAAACATTAAATTGCTCAAAAAAATAATAATAGTAGGCTGAAAAAAAAGAACATAAAGGGACTTGCACCCAATTGTTTTGAAAGATGTGTTTGATTTTAAAAAACATTTTAGTGCAAGTTGATGTGAACCATGAGTGAGGAGTGTATCTCGATACAACAGTAAAGTACTGGACAGTTGTAGGTCAGAGGGCGTTGGTGACATGTATCTGTATCTGTGGCTGTATCCGAATGTCCGCACTATACCCTATTCACTCACTCACTATATAGTTCGGGACTATATAGCGACTGAGTGAGTGAGTCAGTGCACTCATTCTGTTGGCGATTCGGACAGCTGCACACTATTTTTAGCCGCGGCCCACATCACACCCCTGTCAGATGTCATTGGATCAATATAATTTTATATATAAATATAAAAGTATATTAAAATATCAATATTTGTCTAATATACATGTATAAAATGTTTTTACAATTTATATTCATATTTATGAATTTTGGTTGACGTCTTTCATATTCCCGCCACCTGACCGGCTCCTCTAACACTGGTGAAAATGGCACCTCCACTGAATTTTGCGGTGTTTTTCATAACTATTATACAAGTTATCATAATGCGAATTAAACACCGCCGAACAGAGAGAAGGCGAAGACAGGCGATGAGGGCGAGGAGGAGAATGGCTCTTCGTTCATTAGCAAGGCGTCGTGTAAGTATTGTATTCGTCCTTTGTCTATATAGCATTAGCACCATCTACTGGGTAAATTATAGTACTTACTAATTCAAAATACTATTCTCAGTCAATGAGAAACACATTAGTCATATACATTTAGACATATTTCAACAAGAAAACACATTGTATAGACACACTCACTTAAAATGCAAGAACATTAAAATATTTTATTGGTTGAAAGAACACAAAACCATAGCAAGGGAAATGGATTAAGTACTCATTTTTTCTAAATGAAAAATGAGTACTTAATCATTAAACAATAATAGAATTTGCTTGGCCATGGGGCACAGGGCTTCTGTGATTTTTTTTTTGTGTTATTAGGTGCGCGTGATGTAGTGAGGGTTTCTACTTCAGTTGTCTCAGGGCAGCTCCAGCTCCCTGCAACACACAATACATTTGGCAAAATCAATGCCAGGGCACAAAAGAACATGACTTCAGCTATATACTCTTCATTTTTATTTACATTTTTAAATCTCAAAATGAAAAATGAGTACTTATTCCTGTGTCTGCACTCATAACTAAAAGTGCAGATACAGAATTAAAAAATGAATCTAGAAGCATCATATTAAGTTTAAGAGAATTTTTGTTTTGTTTTAGGGTGTACTGCCGACTGAACCACCATGTACCCCTACTCAGCATGTACTTAAATGGCCAGTCTGACCTTCGCCCCGATTTTCGCCTCACTCGAACCACCATCACCCGTCTGGTTAGCCACCTGAGGAGTGCTCATCACCAGGGCTGGAGCCAGGACATGGAGGTTTTGGTCTTCCTCTTTTGGTTGGCCAGTGGCACCGTGTACCGTGTTGTCGCCAGGGCATTTGACATGCCCCAGTCCACAGTCCACGATGTGATCCACAGGGTGGCCAACCAGATCCTTCAAATGCGTGGCCATAATTCATTTCCCTTCCCTGGAGGAACTTCCCCAAGTTGTAGCTGGGTTTCAGTTGCTGGCTGGATCAGCTGCTCTCAATAATGTTGTGGGGAGCATCGACGGCTGCCACATCAGAATAAAGCCCCTTCAAGAAAATGCACAGTGTTATTTTAACAGGAAATTGTTTTATTCTATTCAAATGCAGGCTGTGTGTAATCACCGTGGCTTATTTATTGATTTGTTTGTTGGCTACCCCGGATCTGTGCACGATTCTCGAGTGCTTAAAAACAGCCCCCTCTACGTCCACCGGCTCTATCCCCCAAATGGACACGTCCTCCTTGGTGATGGGGGTTACCCTTGCCTCCGTCAGCCCATCACACTCCTCACTCCATACAGAGAGCCGTTTCGGAGCCCAGTGGAAGCCCGCTTCAACCGGCACCATGCACGGGCACGATCTGTAACAGAAAGAGCGTTTGGCATGATGAAGGCAAGATGGCGATCCATTTTTTTTAAGGCACTGGAAGTCCAACCCACCTTTGCAGTCGAGGTGACTGCCTGTTGCGCCATCCTGCACAATCAGCGATGGTGATCTCTGGGAGCCAGTGGAAGAGGAGCCAGGGCCTGATGACGAGCAGGACCAGCATCAGCAGCACCAGCCTGATCAGCAGTGTGGACAGGAGCTGCGTGGACGGATGGCAGCAGCACTTTCCACCCCAAGGGACTATTAATTAAATGTTTGAATAATCTGTGTTTTGGCCTATTTAAATAAAAACAAAAACAATTGAATATGTAAATATCTAAAAAGAAATTGTTGAATGTATGTATAGTTTTCTTTACAAATGTCTAGTTGATTAAATTTTTTGTGTGTAAATAGTGTGCATCATTGTATGTCCATATGCATATAGTTCACACTACACTTATCAAAATAAATTTTTATCTACTATTTACAACTTCTCTCCAACAAACTCAACAGTCTCTCCTTTCTCTCTTCCTCTCTTCTTCCCCTCTCCTCTTCTCGCTTCTCCCTTTCCTCTTCCTTCTTCTCCACCTTCTCCAAAAAACTAATTCAACTCTCCCTCCTCGGCCTCTTGGCTGCCACACTGCTTTCCTCTTCCTCTTTCCTCCCCCATGGATGAGGCAATCAGGCAGGGAGGCTGCACGGATGGCCTGCTGCCTATTGCCTCATCCATGAGGGAGTACCACTTCCAAGATATGGCGATGGGCTCCCCTCCTTCTGTCCCTGTCCCTGTGCGTGGCTGTCTGAGCTCCTTAAAACAGTGAGTTTTGTATAATAAATGCTTCACAAATTAGCTTCAAAGAAACAAACCTTGTAGGTCTTTTTCAGGTTCTCCCACTTCTTGGCCGCTCTGGCAGGGGTGATCATTTCCTTTATCACTGCCCTAAAGTAACGATACATAAAAACATTTGAATATGAGTAGACGTTTTTTGAATAAGTATTTATTCATAATGGTCATACTCCCATCCAGCCGCCGAAGCAAATTTTTCACCCGCAGTCAGATGAGTCTCTCCACATCAGTGTCTGTCCCTTTAAAAAACATTAAACACACAATAAATGCTATACATATAACACAAGTGCTTTAATAACATTAATGACTGACCACCAGTGACCCGTTTCTGTAGCGTTCGCTTTAGATGTTAATGTTATGATATGCGAAAATGCTAACACTTTCGCGGCATAACATTGGTACGTTGTTTTGCAGTAAAAGGCAATGGTATTCAAATGTGTATTTTGGCAGCTTATCGTCAACAATATATCACGGTTTACACATTTACATATTTATGATGATTAAAAACTCACATTTGGAGCTCATGTCCCGCTCCGCGTCCAGCTCGTCTCTCTGTGCCTCCGCCATTTTACTTCCGTCTAGTGACCATCGCTGCTCACTACATGTTCGAGATGCATTGTGGGAAAATTCCAGTGCACTACTTTTTCTCTCTGGACATTCGGACACCCCTACAAAATGGCGTGACCACTATATAGTGCACTATATAGGGTATAGTGTGGACATTCGGATACAGCCTCTGTGTTCAGCGAGGCTGAGGGACGCAGATAGAAACTTACAGCGAGCGGAGGTGGGCAATGTTTGGTCCACCTTGGGCACCGCTGATTTAAAACATTAGTGCGGAGATAGTTTTGGAATATCAAAACTACTGATACAAAGACAATTTGTATCAACATTTAGAATCTACAGCCTGTGTGAGCCCATTCCTCTCACTAGGGGTCTCCTTGTGGTTTCCTGCATATTTCCCTGTTTTTGAGTTTTCCTTGTCAATGTAGAAGGGTCAAAGGACAGTAATGATCCAAGAAATGTATGTAATGTCCTCTGAGATGACAGTGGTTGTGAATTAGGGCTATCCAAACAATATGTTGAATGAAATAAAGACATCTCATTTGCTGAGACAAGATAAATCTGATTCAGCTTCTTTGCCATGTGCAGTAAAATCACAGGAATACATGTGCAAATGTTCTCGTGTGTGTGTGTGTGTGCGCGCGTGTGTGTGTGTGCGTGTGTGTGTGTGCGTGCGTGTGTGTGTGCGTTTTATAAGCCTGAGAGTATTTTTACCTCCATAGCACGAGCTCAACATCTGTGCGGATGTTTGTGGTGGATTAACTAATTCTTGACGGGCTGTTGTTGTAGACCTAGATCCTCTGACGTAAACAGAGTAGGCGCGCAGTGGACTTAGTTTACTTAAGCAGCACATTACGTCATCAATCAAGCAGGAAAGAAATAGAATAAAGTCTTATGTTTTGGAAGTCTTAAGATTTGTGGCCTGTAAAAGAAACAAGGACAATTATCAGAGTGTTTTGGTCATTGTCTAAATTTGCAGCTAACTAGGATTGTCGAAAGTATAGAAAAGCAGATATGAGATTAATGTTTTGTTGAGCCTAATTTTTATAGTTTGTATGACTTCTGTGAATGTGTTTGTTAATCAAGATCAAGATTTTTTATTTTTGTCTCCTTTAGGAGAGATTTGGTTTGGACCAATGGGTTTGCTTCATTTCAATGCATTCACACAAAGACACCAACACACGTGCTACACATTATTCAACAGATTCACTGAAACGGGTATGAAAGAGTTCTTTTAGTGAAACTTGGAACCATGGCACTCTGTACCTCCTTTTCCTCATGGCCTGCTCATAGAGCTCCTGGGGGCCAAGAGGGAAAGGTGAGCCCATGATTATCCCAGTGGTTTTAAACAAGTTCAGTATTTGTGTTTTGGATTTTATGAGAAGATTCCCAAACCAGCTGCTAATCCCGTACCTCCCAGCGATTCAATGATGGTCTTTGACACACCCAAGAGTCTGAGCCTGTGCAGAAAGTGGAGGCGCTGATGGAATCTGCTGCAAACAGTCGTCTCACCCGTGTGCTCCAGCTCAGAGAGAGGGTTGGGGCCAGAGTCTATACCCCTCTCACCTGTGTGCTCCAGCTCAGGGAGAGGGTTAGGGCCAGAGTCTATACCCCTCTCACCTGTGTGCTCCAGCTCAGGGAGAGGGTTAGGGCCAGAGTCTATGACCCTCTCACCCGTGTGCTCCAGCTCAGGGAGAGGGTTAGGGCCAGAGTCTATGACCCTCTCACCCGTGTGCTCCAGCTCAGAGAGAGGGTTAGGGCCAGAGTCTATGACCCTCTCACCTGTGTGCTCCAGCTCAGAGAGAGGGTTAGGGCCAGAGTCTATACCCCTCTCACCTGTGTGCTCCAGCTCAGGGAGAGGGTTAGGGCCAGAGTCTATGACCCTCTCACCTGTGTGCTCCAGCTCAGAGAGAGGGTTAGGGCCAGAGTCTATACCCCTCTCACCTGTGTGCTCCAGCTCAGAGAGAGGGTTAGGGCCAGAGTCTATGACCCTCTCACCCGTGTGCTCCAGCTCAGAGAGAGGGTTAGGGCCAGAGTCTATGACCCTCTCACCCGTGTGCTCCAGCTCAGAGAGAGGGTTAGGGCCAGAGTCTATGACCCTCTCACCCGTGTGCTCCAGCTCAGAGAGAGGGTTAGGGCCAGAGTCTATGACCCTCTCACCTGTGTGCTCCAGCTCAGAGAGAGGGTTAGGGCCAGAGTCTATGACCCTCTCACCTGTGTGCTCCAGCTCAGTGAGAGGGCCAGGGCCAGAGTCTATGGCTGTGTCCATATTGCTCGGCATCTTCCCTACGTAGGCATGGTTCGTAGGCATCGTGACGTCACTTCTGAATGCACCGGGCATTACAGGGGTGTCCAAATTCAAAGTGGCGAGCTAGGCAGCGTAGGCAGCGTAGGCATTTGTTGCCTTATTTTCCCCGAGTCACGGCCGCACATGTGCAGAACTCTTTTCGGCGTTAACATGTAAACAACGGACCTCAGACCTGGAGCTAAAATGTGTCTATGGTAAGTACTGCTATAAAAGTGAGGTATTATTTACACAGGTACATATTTGTCAACAGTACCTTTACTTCTAATTGAATACATTAAGCCAGCCATTCCCAAACTCAGTAACACCGAGGCCCCCTTAAAAATCTGACGGGTCTGCGTGGCCCCCCAAAATAATAACCAAGAAGACAACATTAAGAATAGGCTCTTCTGGTTATTTTATTTTGGGGAAATAGCCTCTGCTACAAACATTGTAATACAAAAATGATTACAGTGGATTATTCAAGTCAAATAATGAACACAAATATTTTAATATTACAAACAAAACATTATAAATTTAACATTAAATAATTATATTATTTTTTTTTTTTTTTTATGACCTCCCGCGGCCCCCCTGCAGTACCCTCGCGGCCCACCAGGGGGCCGCGGACCCCACTTTGGGAGACACTGCATTAAGCCATTGAACTCTAATCTGATATGATTAGTAACAGTCTGTTGCTTTTCAAGACTTCAAAAAGTGAATAATAGCAGTTTCAGGCATCTCCATTTTACAGATATTATTATAGATCCATGGATGTCAAAAAACACGTTATTACATTTAGGCCTGATTACTTTTAAGTGATGCACAAACGAGGGCCATAGCAAATATATGAATCATATATATGATAATTAATTGCATATGAGCATTGTTTATATAAAATGTAACTTTGTAAAAACGAATGATTACTGCCAATACAATTGTTATAACAGAGAAAAAGTCCGTTACAATAGCCTCGTCTTTTAAATGTTTTACCTTCCATCATGGCCGCTGTGTCGTTCCGCTCTAAGTTGTGTTGTCATGCAACGAAGGCAGCTGCTGTCCTAATTCACCTCAGGTCTCGCTGCCTACGTTGCCAGATACCTACGCGCCTCTGACGGTACCTTCCTTTGATGCCTACGTATCCACCCTACGTGGGACGATGCCTACCAATTTGGACACAGCCAATATGTCCTCGCAGATTTTTAAAAGAAGTTCACCTGCTTAAAGAAGCTATACCCGATTTTTTTTTCTTAGTAGTTCATAAAAATGCTCATTACTACATACAAGTTGTATTTTAATCCATAATTTAATTGAAAACTTGAGGTCATTGATTCAGCTGTGTAAGAGTTACACCGTGAAAAGTGCTGAGTAGAGTCTTAGCGGGACGTTCTCCTCCACTCACATAACGAGCAGCCTGCGTCCTCTAGCCTCTACAGCGCTGCTTAACACCAGGGCTTTGGCTTCGAATATAATTCTAAAATTAAAAAAATATATACAGTGGGGAAAAAAAGTATTTAGTCAGCCACCGATTGTGTAAGTTCTCCCACTTAAAATAATGACAGAGGTCTGTAATGTTCATCATAGGTTCACTTCAACTGTGAGAGACAGAATGTGGAAAACAAAATCCAGGAATTCACATTGTAGGATTTTTAAATAATTTATTTGTAAATTATGGTGGAAAATAAGTATTTGGTCACTTCAAACAAGGAAGATCTCTGGCTCTCACAGACCTGTAACTTCTTTAAGAGGTCAAGGTCAAGTTTATTTATATAGCACATTTTAAAACAGACAGGACCTCACAAAGTGCCTACCAGACATTGTAAAAATACAACACACAAATAACATTCAGCATAAAAATAAAATGCAGGACACCATCATAAATGTTGCAACATTGCTTGTGTTAAAAAGCCAAAGCAAAGAAATGTGTCTTTAGCTGCGATTTAAAACTCTCCACAGAGGAGGCAGCTCTGATGGAGTAAGGGAGAGCGTTCCAGAGTTTAGGCCCTGCCACAGCAAAGGCTCGGTCTCCTCTGGTCTTTAATCTAGACCTGGGACAGTGCAGAAGAAGCTGGTCAGAGGACCTCAGTGCTCTTCCCGGAGTGTGCAAAGTAAGCAAGTCAGTCAGATATGAAGGAGTCAGGTCATGCAGAGATTTAAATACTAACAATAACATTTTAAACTTAATTCTAAAAGCGACAGGAAGCCAATGTAGAGACGACAGCGCAGGAGTGATGTGCTCGTGTCGTCTGGTGCCAGTCAGCATCCGAGCTGCTGCATTCTGTACCAGCTGCAGTCTGTGAACTGAGGACTGGTCAAGGCCATAGTATAAAGAGTTACAATAGTCCAGTCGTGTGGATATGAGGGCGTGGACAACCTTCTCAAGGTCAAGAATCTCTCTCTCATCTGTATAAAAGACACCTGTCCACAGCCTCAAACAGTCAGACTCAACTCCACTATGGCCAAGACCAAAGAGCTGTCCAAGGACACCAGGAAAAGAATTGTAGACCTGCACCAGACTGGGAAGAGTGAATCTACAATAGGCAAGCAGCTTGGTGTGAACGAATCAACTGTGGGAGCAATTATCAGAAAATGGAAGACATACAAGACCACTGATAATCTCCCTCAATCTGGGGCTCCACGCAAGATCTCATCCTGTGGGGTCAAAATGATCATGAGAACGGTGATCAAATATCCCAGAACCACACGGGGGGACCTGGTGAATGACCTGCAGAGAGCTGGGACCAAAGTAACAAAGGTTACCATCAGTAACACACTACGACAGGGAATCAAATCCTGCAGTGCCAGACGTGTCCCCCTAACGATTACTATAGGTCTTTACCAGGTTTGATCATTGTCATGCTAGAAGACCCAGCCACGTTTCATCTTCAATGATCCCAAACACACCGCCCGGGCAACGAAGGAGTGGCTCCGTAAGAAGCATTTGAAAGTCCTGGAGTGGCCTCGCCAGTCTCCAGACCTCAACCCCTGTCAGGGATGAAGCAGACACACACATACACCCCATTGAAAATCTGTTGAGGGAGTTGAAAGTCCGTGTTCACTGCTCTCGAGAAGATCTGGATGGAGGAATGGGCCAAAATACCAGCTACTGTGTGTGCAAACCTGGTAAAGACTTATAGTAATCGTTTGTAATATAACCTTTCTTGGCAATAACAGAGGTTGAATTTTTGTTATTGACCAAATACTTATTTTCCACCATAATTTACAAATACATTCTTTAAAAATCCTATAATGTGAATATCATGGATTTCTTTCCACATTCTGTCTCTCACAGTTGAAGTGAACCTATGATGAAAATTACAGACCTCTGTGCAATTTCTCCCACTGAAAATAATGACAATCGGTGGCTGACTAAATACTTTTTTGCCCCACTGTACATTCGAACAAATATTAGACAGACCTTATAATTCAAAATGTATTTATGACTGCAAATAAAATAGTTGGCTCCCAAAGGTTTCACCGTGACGTGCTAGGCAGGTAGCAGCTAAGCTAGCTAGCTCCCTGGAACTACATGAAAACTGAAAGAATTCTGACCTTCAGCAGTGAGTTACCCTTATAAACCGAACCTCAATCCATAATCAGATCCCCTTCAAATGTGTCCAAAAATGTTCGTTTCATGTTAACCCTTTAAGCGCCAAAGTCGCAATATTGCGACAAGCAACATTGCTCACTTAAACAGGCTGTATCTAAAAATGTGGTGCAGAATCTTGTTAATACTTTTCACCAGGGGTTAGTGGACATGTGTGCCTGTAATATGAGCAACATTTGTGGGTGTGGTTATATTGAAAGTTTTTGAGTAAATTGAGTTCGTAAAACACCTGCGGCGCGGAGGCGAAGCAGCAGCGGTAGAGCTGAGAGGAGCGAGAGCAGAGCAGAGGGAGAGAGTGTTTTTTTATTTACACACAAGGTCTTCAGTCCCAGGGAAGTACTTGGTCTGGTACTGGCTCACTCAGATTCAGAGGAGGAAGACACGCAGGTGTCCAGTGAAGCAGACACGGACATTATTGGTGACGGGGAGACCGCGCTCCATAGTCCACAATCAGCCCCTGTGCAGCGGCTGCTTGTCCTCCGTGTGGCCGCGATAGAAGCATTCTGTGAACGCCAAGCAGGGGCCGTGGTCGAGGGGACAGGGGCATCATAACACCGGGCATGTGGGAGAAAGTAGCGGGGATAGACATCCACGGGGAACACGGGAGACGCGGGAGAAGTCGCGGGAAAAAAACACATCGCTAATCGCGTTCACTGCCTTTACCAACAGCAATGATGAGGATGAAGACAGTTCTTGAGAGAAAATAATCCACAAAAGTGGATCAGAAGTGTTGAAGAGCCTGTTGTATGTTGTTGAGACGATCTGACAAGTTCTGAGCCCATTCATTTCATCTCTCTGTTTCTAAACGGTAAATCCTGGAGCCTCATTTCCACTGAGAAAAATAGTAAGCCCACTACTTCTCTGAAAGGGAAATATTGAAACCAATCTCAAGATTTCATGACTGTAAACTATAAAGAGTGCTGTCTTGATCACTGAAGGTCTTTGAAAATAATACAATTCCATATGGCTGCGAACCAGTGCTAAAACATTATCTATAATCTGGATCAGGGAATTTATTTCTATCCCAAATTCATTTCATACTAAAGATATTTCACATTGACTGTTTATAGTATTCCCTGATCTCAAATAACTCCCAAGCTACAGCTTTTTGAAGTCTTTATACAATAATTAACATTTTCCAAAATGGCCGCCACCTTGATGACGTCACAATATGCAAATTAGATGACGAATCAACTTCCATCCCAAAGCCTTTTGAAATCTTGAAATCAAAATTGTATATTTTCTTGAAAAAACTCTGGCGCCTAAAGGGTTAATGGTTACTTCCGGGTTTTTCGCAATCGCTTTTTGTCACATTAAAACAGTAATTTTGCAACAAATTCTGAAAACGTCCGTGCATGTGTGTTAAGGATGTTTATGTATACTGTATTGT